CGAGCCCGACCGAGCCCGAGCCTGACCGAGCCCGAGCCCGACCGAGCCCGAGCCCGACCGAGCCCGAGCCCGACCGAGCCCGAGCCTAACCGAGCCCGAGCCCAACCGAGCCCAAGCCGACCGAGCCCGAGTAGCTCGGTCTGGGCTCGGGCTCGGTACATGCCTATCTCAATATCAAGTTAGCTTGTTCAAATCTGATCAGTCTTACTAAGTTGGTAAAACTTCCGGTAAAATCCTAAACCCAATTCTGAGTTTTCTTCTTCCTCACGGAATAATATCTGCTTGCTGGCTTGCGCTAATAGTATTTTTTGTTCGCCATGCGCATATTTGCTTTGCTATTAAGCGATATACTAACAAAGAAATTCTATCGACATTCATACTCACAGTCATGCCCATATCGACATCATAGGGGATTCTTGCCAGTGAGACATCGCTGGATTAGCATTCTATTTCAAGCGTGTATATCTGCAGAGATTCAGTCGAGTTGAAGCGGCAACATTGATCCGAATGAAAATTTGTTTTGACCAGTATGACATGCGAAAATCAGTCATCGATTTGTAGTCTCTTAGTTTCACTGATGGCATAAATTACCGTGCAAAGTCAACAGTACTTTCTCAATTACAGTTTTAAGTACTTATCTTAATACGTGATGAAAAGCACTACATAAGTAACTGCGTATGGTCATTACTCATATTACTCTCGATTTGCTAGTCATGTGATGTGAATAATAGCGCCATCATTCGAACGCTTACGTGTGATTGTTTGACAGACTTTGACTAATCAAAGTATGAACAAACAGTGACGCTCTCGTATAAGTTAAAACTATTTATCAAGAATAGTAATACGAAGGTTAGTACCATACTTCACGGCATGCGATAAAGTAAAATGTGTTACAATGTTCTTATAGCGAGAGGCAAAGCTATAAAGGACAATAAAAATTACTCGTACTCATTTAATCATATTATATAGTATCCATTTCAAATAGATTACAAAAGAAATAACCAAAAAATTTTATTATCCTTTCTTTAACAGCGGTAGACTTGAATACACCAAAGTTCTATTTCAATACTTTGGAAATATGAGTAAGAGCCACAATTAAAATGTAGAATTATGTGAAAGTTACTCTGTATCATATTGTGTGAAAATATGCTGTTGTATTAAATATGCATATTTTCTGTGACACACAAAATCATGTCTAAGCTAGTGATTGTATGTGACCATATTGATGTTATTGTTGTACATACTCTAGTAATTTACACAAAAAAACAGGATTAAAATTCACTCAATTATACAAATATATAAACAATTCTTTTGAATTCCGATTAAACGACGAATTTTCAATTAGTCTTGTTTATTTCAATGCAAAATTGTAAAGCTTCGAAATCGCATTGTTGAGACCGATTCAAAAATCTTTTTTAACCGATCTGCATTTCAATTTGTAACTAAATTATTTCATCTCATTCTATTATTTTTCGGGGGGTTCATTCTAAAATAGAACGACAGAAAAGAACGCTGCTATTTCGGAAGACTTTTTGAGTGAAGAAATGGCAAACAACAGAAAACATATAGAGCAGCTAAGCCACGGTTGTATACACGACAGCGGTTTGAGATTCCTTATTGAGTGCTTTTATTGATTTATTTATGCACATTTGTCGCTTTTTCTTATTGATGATTACAGAAATGGCCACTGGAATGTCACTCAATCGATGCTCGATATGTGAGAAGAATGCAGCAATGTGCAATTGCACAGGATGTAAGGCGTACTTTTGTATCAAGCATTTCAATGAGCATCGTCAACAGTTGTCAGTTGAATTCGATCGAGACGTTGTAAAAGCTCATGATGAGCTTCTCGAACAAATCAACCAAGTGAAAGAGTCAAACGATTCTCCATGTGATCTTCTCTCTGCAATTGATCAGTGGGAAACTTCAACGATTGAAATAGTAAAAAGAACAGCTGATAGAGCTCGTAATCAACTCACTCAATTGCTCAATAATGAGAAAGAAACATTTATGAAACAATTTGATATTTTAACCAGAGAAATTCGCAGTCGACGAGAAGAAGACGAATTTGCTGAAGATGATCTTAGACAATTTCAAGAAAAGATTAATAAATTACAGCAATCGTTCGAACGACTCAATCGACCAAACAATATTAATGTAATAACGTCCCAAATTGGTCAAGTCGATTGGAATCGTCTTATCAGTGTTGAAAAACAACAAGAAAGAGGTAAATAGGATACTCGACAAACCGTGCCACTGTTTAGCCGAAACCGTAATGAATGACAGGAAGATTATGCGTTTATTGCACTCTATTCTTCACTGCTCAAAAGTTTTACTTTCGCAATTGAACTACTTGTGACATTTGAATAGAGTTGTCTGAAAAGTTCGTGCAACTCGTATTCTATGAAACAGTATGATGACAAGTGCTGCATTTATTCAGTGTAGTGATCTTCATTAGCAACCACATCTGGCCAACGGTTACACAAACCACTTATGCCATGAGACACATTACATAAATGCAGCACTTGTTATCGTACTGCTTCATAGAATACGAGTTGCACTAACTTTCCAGACAACCCAATAGCTAATAAGAAATATAGTGCAAAAATGTTAAGTACTACCCAAGCAATCAAAAAAGTTAAATTGACGCGTTATAACGACCGTTTTGCATTTTATCTAGTAACGCATTTTACATAGTCAAAAATGTCCGAATTCTGGCGTTTTAACAATCGCATTTTTTTCAGCTTTCACATCGTTAAAATGGTAGAAGAGACAAACGATTAAAACGCATTTTCGAGATCAGCGGGTTAAAACGCATNAATAAATTTAATCAGAGAATCGAGAAAATAAAAAAAACGGATCCCTACATGTATTATAGAATATTTAATTAAGACTCTTTTTTTATAAACTTATATGCTTGGGAATAAATAGAATGATATGTATCGATTGAATAAGGAACAATAGGAATTACTGAATAGTTATGTGTTGCTCTTTGTCTTGCAGTAACAACGAAACAAAGAAACAAAGAAGTTCGATGCTACTGGTTAGCGCTATCACCAACAGGATGGGAGAAATAGATAACTTCGTGAAAAGCTTTCGTTTTATTCAAGTTAAAACGCATTACTTGCCCTCTCATGATCTTTCAACCCGTTAAGACGCGTTACTTGCTCCAACATGGTCTTTCAACCCGTTAAAATGCGTCAACAAAAAGTTAAACGCGTCGAAACGCTGTTATTTCTTTCATATGTTCAGTCAACGCGTTATAAAGCGTTATTTCTTCTATTCTAACCTTCAACGCGTCAAAAAAGGTGTTTTGGCGTTTATCTGTCTGCGTGGTTAGCAGTCAATCACTGCTACACAGCGATTGCATATTGATTCAATACAAGATAGCCTTTGTAGATCTTTCTCACGAAATACTGTAAAAAATGTCTCAGTGTTTTTGCTGTAAGCGTTCCTCTAGCGAATCAAACAAACACTGGCAGAAAGACATTAATAGTGTCTTTGCTTCAAATGTGATGCTACGATCGAAATAAAGTTGTAGAGTCTAGCACCATGAAATAGAAGTAGGAAGCCAATAATGACCATGAATGTGCTGTTATGATTTGTGTACGACTGCATAGGATCATATAATTTATCTTTCTCCATTGTATAAAAATGATCGAACGAGAAATATGCATGACCTTACGATCAATTTGAAAGAATGCTCTAATTTTGTTGTACTACAAAATAATAGAATAGTTCTCTTATCATCAAACCCAAACATACCACATCATATTATTCTAGCATGGCCAGTATGTCGATATCAATTAGTGGAAAGTGTACTTTTAAATGAAAATGAATTCGAATGATTCTCGCCTACGAAAAATAAATTTAACACTGTTCTACTTCAAAATTCGATTTTATAAATGATATTTAATATTATCAAACAGAGTACAAGAGAATTATGAATCTTTTGGATTTGGAAAATATCTATTTATAAAAAGAAAAGAAAACAAATCATCGGTCACAGTGAATAATTCGTGTTGTTTTGTCCTATATCCCAAACTCTAAATATTAGTTTTAGGTGATGTCAAATAGATTCAGAAACGATAGTCGCAAGGTGCCAATGCGCCTTTGTTCTGCTCCATAGAACAAAGATATGGATTCAAAGTCCGATTTAGGAAAACAGTAGCATATTGTCTTTGAAGCTGTCAACACCGTGCAGAAATTCACGAATAGTGATGAAGCACAATATGATTTAGATGGCACAAAGTTCAGATCTGAGGCATTAAACTTTCAAGATAATATCTTTCATATCGGAACGATATTTTGAGGAAAATGAAAGATTCATATTTTGAGCTCCAAGTTGACCAAGATCAGTTACAAGACGCATTATTAGCTTGTTTAAATATTTATCTTCTAAATCTGAAAATCGATAAGTAACGTATTTTCTGAAAAATAAATTTATATCTTAGAAATAAATATTTGAAAAGATATGACAATTTAGTTTTTAATAGATTTTAGTCGAATTCGAGATTGCAATTGCGACCGGTTATTTTTCCTCGAAAAATCTTTCGTTAGAATATATTGTCTTCAGCACGTCATATCTCAAGAAGAAAAGGTCGTGTACTTAAACGAATTTATCAACGTTTTAATCGATAAAACGGCATGATTTATCAATTTGAAAAAAAAAGACATACGCACATTTAAATTCGCATTTTATTAATATTCCTTCAAATTTGTTCTCACAATAAGTTTTTGCTTCATTGTAGCTCTTCTACGTTCATCTCACATTGATATTGGTGCGACATGGAGTCCAAATGGAATTACTATAGCTGGAGGCAGTGAACAAGGAAATAGATTAAATCAACTCAACAGTCCACAAGGAATATGTGTTGACAATGAAGATCAAGGCATTTATATTGCTGATTGGTTCAATCATCGTATTATGAAATGGAAATTTGATGCGACGAGTGGAGAAATAGTTGCTGGTGGTAATGGTGCAGGAAATAGAATGGATCAATTAAATAATCCATTAGATGTGATAATCGATAAAGAGACAGACAGTCTCATCATCTGTGATTCTGGTAATCAACGAGTAGTGCAATGGCCTCGTCGACATACTTCTAGAGGACAAGCAATCATTTTTAATATTGATTGTCGAGGTTTAGCAATGGATGATAACAGATTTCTCTACGTCTCGGACTACAACAAGGGTGAAGTTCAACGATGGCGTATAGGAGACTCTAAAGGAATAGTAGTTGCAGGCGGAAATGGAAAAGGTAATTCCCTTAATCAGCTTAATGGCCCTCAGTATGTATTTGTTGATCAAGATCATTCAGTGTATGTATCAGATATGAATAATTATCGCATAATGAAATGGGTGCAGGATGCAAATGAAGGCATAATTGTAGCTGGTGGTCAAGGCAAAGGAAATAATCTTTCACAATTATCATCTCCTTATGGAGTTATTGTCGATCCATTGGGCACTATTTATGTTGCAGACTGTGGTAATCATCAAATAGTACGTTGGCCTAATGGAGGTAAAGAAGGCAGTATTGTTGTTGGCGGAAACGGTTGTGGGAATAAGCCAAATCAACTAAATTATCCCGTAGGTTTTTCATTCGATCAATATGGTAATCTCTATGTTTCCGATAATGGTAATAGTCGAATAGTACGATTCAATATCAATTCGAATTCGCGTTGATGATTGTTCAGAGTTCGTTTCAATGAACATTTCGTTTTTCATGCTGTGATTCCCGCTTCTGATTGAATAATGAAAAAATATAACGATAATACTTCATTTGTATGCGAATGAGAAACTGCACGATGTTCAGTCTTTGATCTAATTAGCTGTAGATTATGCATGTCAGCCAAAATGAAAAGCAAAATAGTGCATATTGCGTCCGTCGAAAGTCCTATCAAGCGGTGCACTACCATTTGCAAAATCGTTGTTCTATGAATTATAGTACGACTTTGTAATCGAATTATTCCTCATACCTACTCATAGTTCCAATGATGTGTTACTGTATCATATTCTGTACACTACTATGAATTGTTAACAAAAGCTTTGTCTGATATGCTAATTAGCTGAAATGCTTTATATTGAAGAGGAATCTCACGTCAAATTGTGGTTTTGAGCTGAAAAATCACAGAGAAAAAGTAGAAGAAGAAAATGTTAAAAATTTGTCAAAGTAATTTTGACTTTCGATGTCGGATTGCAGCGAGTTCAACCTATCGAGGACTGTCATATAGTCTAAAAGAGATAATGCCATATGTCATATTTCTTTAAATCGTGTCTATATTTTCGCTCATTATCAAGAATACAGCATAGACAAGATAAGAATTAATTTTATGATGGCCGTGACTTTTTTGGTTGACTTAATATGAAACTGCTTATCATTAACTTCAATTGCTGTTGATGTGCTCTTCAAAAGGATATTTTGCCAGAATTCAAAACCATTATACTGAACCCGTTGTTATAAATGGTATGCCATGGATATCTTTGCGATAGTAGATAATCAGTATTGAGTGTTCATGAACGTACTCATACGACAAACAGTTTTTGTTGTTGTTGCTGTACAGTAATGGAAAAGAAAAGAACGTTTTGAACTGTCATTTATTACCTAAGTAGAACTGATTTTACACAAATGTATGTAAACTCTTGAAAAAGCCTTGATTTGAACCTTTAAACGCTGGTGGAAAAGAGTGATCATGCAAACACTAGAGAAACTGTTTTATTTTTGGATGTGACTACTATTAAAATTTTCTCAACTATTTCCAATGGACGCATAAACGCTCGTAGCATTCCTTTTTTTTAGTGTTTTAACCCTTCTAATAGATGTGAAATCACAGATTAAACAATTTTAACGCGCATAGAATATGTATTCAAAGTTAATATTTTGTGTGTATTTTGACAAAATCTTGCATACCGTGATCAGAAAAAAATTGATGTCTTATAGAAAACGCGAAAAGACAGACTTTATCTAGAATAAGCATAAAAAGTAGATTTAATACAAAGGCATTTATTTTGTACAAAGAAGAACAATAAAAGTATGTCCATTGATCGAACAGTTAATAGAAGTGTATGGTTAAAATGATGACAGACCTCATTCCATGTTTCATCATCTCTTATCAAGTCTCTTATAATAATGACAATATATGTGAGATGTACAAGTCATCCTATTTATTATATTCAATATTTCTTCAATTTATTTTTCCATCTAGAGCGACGTTTACGGAATTTTTTTCTTACCTATACAATGTATTCTAGGTTTTTTACTTCGCTTTCACTTGTACTTATGTCTAGAATGATCGACTGTGCAAGCGAGAAACTGGAAAATAAATTCCAAAGGCATCATTCTCGTGTCTAAATTTAAATCTCTTTTCTTTCTTTCCTTTTCGAGTCTGTATGTTTCTCTGTTTTTTGTTGCACTTGAGCTGGGTTCTTCATCAAATATAATAAAAATCTCACCACAAACATAAATTGTGATGCTCTTTTATGTGAGATTTTACAAGATTAACATTATTCGTCTGTATCTTTCAAATATTGCCGCAGCCCATTCTCTTTATCTTTCGATTTTCATGATATTTGACTTCGTCTATAAAACTCGCAATTCAGGTATTTTTGTCATGCAGCATCTTCTACATTCTGCGTTCACTACGTTTAAACAAACAGAACGTTTTTTAAGAGATTCTGTTTGCTCTGATAAACAGATAAATAAATGGATGAATAGAGTGCATAGATATTTATATAATTACAAGATATATATGTAGATCTGCGAATAAATAGATATATGAGTATATGACTGGCTTAGTAAATTTAACCGATCAATATCAAAAGCAAAAATGTCAAACTATAAGAATAAAGAAGAAAAACATTTTACATGTCTTCAGCTTGGCTTTGACTTATTTTCTTTGACGACATTTTTATGCTTTGGCATTTTATCTGCCAATCAAACTGACTTTTATCAGCTACCTTGTTAGATAGTTATACAGCAAGATGACTAGCCAAACATTTAATGAAGCAGATGCTTAGACAAAGAGTTAGGTTGACAGTTAAATAACTAGATAAGTAATTAGATAGTAACTTGGACAGGTAGTTAAATACATAGTTAATGCTTATTGTAGGGCTAAGTGGTAGCAAACAGCTTTTGAATAATTGTACAACAGAAAGAAAGAAACAGCTTATGAGTTTCCAATACTATCTATAGTCGGCAGAAAATTCTGGTACTTTTCTCATAGAATCGATGGTGAGTTTTGAAGATGACTTCCGTCTAATCACGATCAAATATATTTCCAATGGTAATATAATATTTAGAAAAATTTCCTATAGCTTCGAGTTTCGAACAATTATGATGAATGGTGTCCAAAAAATCTTCATATCAGTTAAAAGAACATAATTAATCATCGCGATCTTGTGTTGCTTGACATAAGAAATGCTTATCTTTGTAACCACAACATTACACTTGAAAATTCAAATATTATCTAGATCGAACAGTGGTTATCTTAAAAGCTGACCATGTGCCAAGCATGAAAAGTAAGAAAACTCTTTTCGCTATGAAAAAAGATAAAGCAATGTTAATTATAGATGTTGCTAAAATTCCGAACTATAGCGCTTGTTCTTTATTCAAAAAAAAATATCGATATGCCCTAAAGTCTAAAATGAACATTGGTTAGACAGACGTATGGAGGGTTTTGGTGTACGTGCGAGTATCTTCTCTCTATACATTCCAAACCCACAATCACATCTGTGTATTATAATTGTGTGATAATTTGTTGCATACTATTCATGTCATTCTAGGCATTCGAATGGTTAATAGTGACAGAATGCTAATCCAACGCTTGTTCGCAAGTACTCTTGTAGATGAAAACCTCTTAATGGCACATTCTTTATTGTATTCTTGACTACAAGAATGCGGTTCTAACTTTGCTTCGGAGTTGGAGCTAACCGATCTCTTGAAGAGAATTAATCACTGTCATTTTTTATTAGTTGTTATTGCGCACTGCAACTGATAATGCCTCATAGTATTTTTATTCCTTCGATAGTATTCATAATCAGACGATGTGCGGCTGTAAATCGGGCAGAAAGTATTATATGTAATAATGTATCAGCGCTTTTTAGCATTCTACCTGAAGAAATTCTTTTATTGCTGTCATAAGCGACAATAACTATCGCGCTGATTTGTTTTGAATGACTACAGCACAATCTTATTTTGATTTGTCCAAATCAGGTTTGTTTGACTATGAGTCTTTGAATCAAGAAATATTTCCCTAAAAGTTTTCTAATAAATTGGAACACGCCATTATCAAACGAATCTCTACATTTAGAATACCTTTTTTGGTGCTTCTTGAAGTTTCGGTTTTTGGAAACGCTGTTTGTGTACGTTACCGTCACAGGGCACTTTTTCGCCTTAGTGTACATGTTCTACTCGATCTTGTCTTGTGATAGTGGCATCTTTGACATGCTCGTAATCTTGTTCGAGATGTAGAATCTCTTCTGGATGATCAAATTGTGGATTTGGCAAGGACGAGCGAAAGAATGCGATTAGTGTTTGAATTCTGACCTGTACAACAGAATTCTATAAAAACTCTGCCTTATCTTTTGAATGCTAAGCAGAAGCCTAGACGATGGCAAATCGTTTTTTGATTTGCTTTAGGATGATGACATGCAAAATCCTGTGCTGTATTGCATGATACAGTGTTAACCGGCCGTCTAATTCAAAATTCTGAATTGTGCCAGCAAAACTTTGGAAGTTTTTCAAGTAATAAATTGATAGATGTTTAACGTACTCTAGATCGAACAGTTTCTGTTATTTACTCTTCAACGAATCATAGTATTACACTGATCTATGATATTGTGCTTGCAATCCAATAACCACTAACTGCAATTTTCTCTCTAGATGCTTTCTTCAATCAGTACTGCTATCTTCTTAATTGGTGGTCTTTATGTTCAATTTTGTATTAGTAGTAGAACAAATGTGAGAAATCGACCAAGTGTGCGACGCGACAGTATGTTGCCATCTACATTTGACTATATTGTGCTTGGAGCTGGCAGTGGTGGGTCTGTTGTAGCGAATCGTCTGAGCGCTTCTGGTCACTATAACGTTCTACTGTTGGAGGAAGGGACCAATGTCGAGGATGATCCGTTGGTATCGATTCCCTATAATTGGGATATTACTGTTGGATCATCACTCGATAGAAACGATCTGGTTGGACCTAATGAGCCAATAGTGAGATATGATTTCAATAAACGACAATTACCAAGTGGCAAAGCACTTGGTGGAACTTCCACGATAAATGCCCAGATGTATGTGCGCGGAAATGTTTTTGACTATGACAGATGGGCCGAACAAGTGGGTGATGACTGGAATTATACAAATGTTTTGCAATATTTCAAACGAGCTGAAACCTCTTCTCGCTATGCAATGAATCCTGACTATCATGGAAACACGGGACCTCTCCATATTACTGCTGGAGGTTACGAGCCTGTAGAAGATGAACTTCTTGTTCGCGCTTGTCAAGCTTTAAGCATCCCTTTTGTTGACGATTGGAACGGGGCTCAACAAATTACTTCACCTGTTGGTTCTGTTGGATTCCTCGAACTTACTATTTTCAATGGAACTCGTCAAACTGCCTTTGGTTCTTATATTCAACCTATTTTGAAGCGAAACAATCTTTGGGTTCAAGATTCTAGTTTGATCACAAAAATAAACTTCAATAATTATAAACGGGCTACGAGTGTCAATTGGTATGATTTAGAAACGAAAGAAGCCCATACAAGCTGGGCTTCAAAAGAAATTATAATCTCCATGGGAACTTTGAGATCTGCTCAGCTTCTTCTTCTTTCTGGAATCGGTAATTCGACCAAACTGAATGCACTTGGCATTCCAGTTGTGGAAAATTTACCTGGTGTTGGTGAGAATCTACAGGATCATGTAATTACTACTGTCACCTGGAGTGTTAACAGCAGCCCCTTTCCGATTCCTCTCGGATCAGCTGTCGATGAAACTGCTTGGAATCTGTACAACCATAACCGCACTGGTATTTTAGCTTCCATTACAGCTCGCACAAACATATTCCTTCGTACTAAATTTCAGCCGGCTACAGACCCGCGTCCCGACATTCAAGTGATTGCTACGACACCTAGTGGCAATAGTTTGTTTGCTTTGATCTATTTGCTTCACCCCCGTTCAGTGGGTCATATTACTCTTGTTTCACGTAATCCTAACGATCGGCCAATCCCACAAATGAACTATTTCTCTGATCCTGACTCTCATGACGTAAACGTTATCATGGAGGGTGTACGACTTGTTCATCAAATCTATAGCGCCTTTCCTATGCATAATACAGGTTTTTCCAGTTTTAGCAATTTATCAGATGACTTGGAGTTCAAGAGGTATTTATATGGAAGTAAATACTCTGCAGCTAATACAAATTCTGGAAATCATTTGACTGGAACTTGCAAGATGGGTACTGATTCGATGGCTGTCGTTGACTCCCGTCTTCGTGTTCGAGGTGTCCTTGGTTTGCGAGTGGCTGATGCTTCAATCATGCCATCTATCACATCAGGTAACACTCAAGCTCCAGTTTATATGATCGGAGAAAAAGCTGCTCAAATGATTCTGGATGATCTGGTTAATGGTTCTGCACAGCCTTATACGAAGGTTACAAGCTTTCTAAATCTCTTTTTAGTTTTTCTATTTATGTTCTGAAAACTATCGAATTATACGAACACCAGTATTATTGAAACTAATGCATATTCTCTCATAATCCTATTCTTTTACTCCTTCGCTTTTATTGTAACTATATGGCTCATATATAAGTATTTCTAATTTTCAACAAAACCTGTCTTGTTAAGAGACAACTGGCAAAAAAATCAATCATTCTGCTACGATGACATAGCATGGTTACATTTTAGATTTCGTTCATTCTATGCTCAATCGATAGAGCATGTTGCGAAATTAACAAGTCTGAAGTTTCATTTCATCTCAACTTTTACTTGTCTAGTTAGACGACATCGAACTGTGCTAAAGTGAGGAAAATGATAGTTCTCGTGTTCTAGTTCGCATGCGGCCATTTCAAGGTCGATAATTCTTAGTGGCATCTCATTCAAAATAGAATTTTATTCTGCATGACACGTTGTACCTTTAAAGTGTGAAAAGTACTTCTTCCTAGTCCAAAGTGCTGTTTCAATCACATTGAGCGAGCTTGAAAATCTTGTGTTCGATATTTTTTCGAGATGGTTTCCCTCTTGGAAGTCAACTAAATTAGTCGTATTTTGTAAAACTATTTCTCTTCATAAAAACTATTAAGAAAATTAACTTTAGAGTCTCTAGAGCATAGTATAAATGTTAATTTTATAGGTGGCACTACTTATCGTAACTAAGCAGTTCTGTACACTGACCTTTTTTCTAGCGTTAACCTAGTCCGTATCGGTTGGAAAGACGTTGCAATAACAAGAAATGTAGTTTAAATGTCTAATAAATATCAAAATGTCATTCATTTTCTTTCTCGTTCGGTAAGAGTAAGTAGTGTTTCAAATCCATGACAGAAATAGGTTGACACTGTTTAAGCTAGTGAGTTCTCAACGTAAATAAATGTCGTTATGTATGTTGAAACGGTTTCATCTTGTTCTGACGGTTTAATCGTCCTGGAAATTCGCCATTGTCTTCATCTTCACATTTCTTGATTTTTTCCTTGTCCTTCTTTTCACAATTACACTTTGTTGGCAAAACAAACTTAGATATTGTCAGACTTTGAGAATTTCGCTGGTTTTCAGTGTTTCCATCTGTGTCACTACACTTTCAGACGTCTACCACATGTGATTCTCGATTTTTCCATCGAGTTTCTGTGAGGTAGTTTATTTGTCGCTCCCCAAGATGAGAGTTTTGGTCAGACTAGGGGAGAACTCATCGTTCTGGGAGACCGTTAGCTTCGATCTAGAAGATGATTTCTTGGTCGTACATTTCAAGCTGCATCCTGATAAATTCTCAATCATTAGTGAGTTCAAGTCTTGATGTGCCCGATTTTATTCTCTAATTATGCAATGACACTCATTCCATACACCTTGCATGCTTGCTTTTGGTGGGATTTCTAATCCCATTGTCTTAGTTCATAAATTTCTGTACACATTCTTATTTCATACATCTGAACCATTTCTTCCTGTTCTTTCCACGTTTGTTCAAGAGAAACATTTATCGCTTCTTATCTATTTAATAGTGGACGAAGAGTATTGTGTCATTGACGAAAATGAGATGGGCGAATACTGCATTCAATGGATTTCATAAACAATGTGGTTTTTTAACAGTAACACTTTACTTTCGCTTACTTTTCATTATCTTGTGAGTGAGCAGATGGTTCTCTGATCCATTTCGGGTCCCTTACATTCATGCACGCACGTACACGTGCATTGGTCCATGTCTATCGACCCAATTACGTACTTTCTGCTTTTCTGGCACCTAAAACGAGCCAAATCGACCAAAAGTCGCATCTCTTTCTTAATTTAGCGTCGAATATTCATGATTTCACACCAACAACGAGTCGAGTGCTTTCGTAGCGTAAAAGTATACGTGTAGATGAGCAGAAGAATTCTACTCATGTCTAGACTCTTACACACACACCCAGAAAGATGATGGCAATATTTCCTTTATGGCTCTATCAATATAAAAATATTCCAGTGCTTCGTCGATCTGTACGATTTTCAAAAGAACCGAAGAGAATAATATCTTCGTGTGTATTTGACGTGTTCAACAAATATCAGAAAGCTCACATGATAGTCTGAGAAATCAAACGATGAGTGAGACTGATTTCTGGCTATTCGAAAAGAAAAAAAAACATGATGTCGTTACAAAAATTATTTTCATGATATTCTTTTCTTCAGCAAAATAGTGTAATTCTTTTGCGCGTATACTGTTTACTATCCAGGCAGCTATTAAGAATGTATTGCTTTCTATGTACACTCTTCAACTTTTTCCTCTTCACTGCTGCTTTTCTTTAATACTGTCATTCAAGCAAAAAATCTATTCCTGCTGCTCAGCCTTGCACAATGTGAATATGATTCTCTTGACAACTAGTTGAAAGAAAATCAATGATTACGCTGTTGTGATCATGACTTTGTTTCGGATTTTGAAATCATAGCAAAAACATGGTAGCTTTCAACAAATATACATCAATAGTTACTATTTTCATTTTTCTAATGCATGTAGTCAATCGTTAAGGTAAAAGTAAAACGTAGTTTGTAAGGAACTGACGTCATATACTGCGTCGCTTTCAAGCATTTGCTGGTGAAATAGACGAAACTGTGTGAATAAACACAATCCACACACCTCGGGATACTTTTTTTGACTCATAAAAGTAAATATTTTGAAAAATACTCTGTTGTCGATGAAAACAGCAACTGTTTTGATCAACTAACATTTTTTCGATTACGACGATGCAACGATTTCTGATTGAAGTAGTGGCAGTACTGTAAGTAATTCTATCGAGTTAAATCAATGATGTGCTGCACTATTATCTTTTAGATATGTTTTCTGCATTTTTACAGGTAAGAGAAACTAATTTTATTCAGCCAATTAGGTAGAAGTCTAATATGAATTCATCAAGCTTATGTTATTTAGTTTTTTGTTAGTTTATTTAAGTTTTCATGTCTAAAAATATTTAGTACTTCAAATTGGTACCATTCTTTTTAATGAACTTTGTTATAGGACAGAGCACGGTCGATGCGCAATCTTCAACATGTGGATGCTGCCCATCGCTATATTATCAAGCAAAAACATTGTCGTGTTCAACAAATTCCAATTGTGAATGCCTGTTAATGTCAATGACCGGAGGAGCAATGTGTGCTGAAACAGTTATGTCATGTAAAGATTTGGTTCCATGTGCGAATGATAATAAGACATGTTCGGTACCGAATACTATATGTGTTAATAACACTCGGTGCAACGGTTCTGTTTGTTATCCGATTGATCGTGCTTCTACTCAACGATGCCCACCACTTACTTCGACCACTTTAACCAATATTACGAGTAAGTTTTTTTAACTGCGATGCTGATGAATGATTTTTATAGAATCAATATATTGGTATGTAAGCTTTACCAAATTTCGGTTAAATTTTTTGTGAATATTGTGTTCACTTGAAGGTGAAGTTATAAGATGATATAGGTCCTATCGAAACATGTAGCTCTCTCAAGAAATGTACTGACAAGACTTTTGTCGCAAAATGATTTATTATTCAAAAATCAAAAGGATGTTTGTTTATGTGTTTTAAAACATAGAGTTTTGAGTCTTACTACATTTTATTTTTAACTCTACTGTTACCAATACAAAAAGGCACGACACATATATTTGTAAACGGTTCTGAAGACACAGCGAAATATTAAGAAAAACTTCTTCCTGCTATGTTCAGTTAGTCCAACAATCAATCGTCGATATCTATAGAACCACTTCCTCTTCTTTGTGATATCAAAACCGCAGAGCTTAGATAGCACATATTTTCACCATCGTCTAGGAGATCTCCTATAATCAACATATATGCCGAGTTGTAGAACGAGTGCATGTACTTGTTTTCTCATCTGAGTGCTAGAAGCATCTCTACCTGCACTTTGACGAACATAGTTGTAATCAGGTTGACTTTTACCTACAACTCATTATGGTGAGGCCACCTACAGGACATCTCAAGGCAACCACAGAAGACACAAGAGAAAATTTTACGTCCAACGAAGAAAACAACTATCTTTTTTTCTGGAACTCGGGGCAAAAGTAAATCAAGCACACGATTGAGTCGTTGGGCTTGTCGGGTTGAAAGAAATGTCCTTCATGTAAATTAATGAGCTTCGAGAGAACGAAAGAAAAATTTGCATCATTCTCTTAAGAGTGATTGAATTATCCTCTTCGATCCCAAATCTAACAAGCTAGTAGCAAACTCAACTCGCCACAGCCGAGGATGGCTGGCTGTGAGCCAAGAAAATGCCCACATGCATTCATATCCACACCATGTATCCTATCTCTGATCACATCCACTATGCTGTAGTTCAATTTCAGTCAAAAGCACTCTACGGGACTGTGAAAAACCGTCCACCATAGGAAGATATCCGCTAAATAGAAATTTCACCTAGGCAGATGTTCAATTCTAGGCAAAATTAGTCGATCGGATTGTCAAGCCTTCATTAAACGGAGGTGTGCACTGATTAGGATTTCATCAAATAATTGATGACATCATTATGTTGTGCTTTCTTTTACATAAAGCTCCAAGAACCATGACAACAACTCCGTCGACAACATCAATAGCCACCACAATATTGACACCGACGTCAACAAAAGCAGCAACAACATGGGCATCAACGTCAACAAGAGCAGCAACAACATTGACACCGACATCCACAAAAGTAGTAACAACATCGACACTGACGTCAACAAAAGCAGCAATAACATCGACAGCGACGTCAACAAGAGCAGCAACAACATCGACAGCGACGTCAACAAGAGCAGCAACAACATTGACACCGACATCCACAAAAGCAGCAACAACATCGACACTGACGTCAACAAAAGCAGCAACAACATCGACACCATCAATAACAGCGGCAACATTGACAAATGCCATAACCACGACGACCTATGTACCTATCAGTAAGCAATAAAACCCTTGATTAATGATTCACTTAATGATTTCATAGAGATTATCCATCAGAGAGTTCAAACGATACGATAAGATCAATGATAGGTTCACCTCCATTTTATCAAAGACGATTGGCAATAAGTGTTGAAGTATGCAGCGAGAAAAATGAAATCTCCACCCACCGGTCTACCACACAGATCCCGATGAGTAGAATAATCAAGTTTTATAGCATCACGCACCTTGAGAGACATTATAATATGTTAGTCCGTCTGATTCTAGCGATTAATATAATTAGTGTGGGTATGACTCTCGGTAATGAACACAACGAAACCAATCGTGTTTTACATTTTAACTTCATAGAAATTGCGCTGAAAACTTTTCTTGCTGAATTCATACGCATAATTACAACATGAGACGAAGAATTATTTTCAAATGAGCTTCAGCATTTTAGCTGACGTTCCAACTGATTTCAGACAGACTAATAGACAAGGTTTATTTATTCAATTCGAATTCAATCAAAATACATTCTAATAATCTTAGCCTCAACTCTAACACGTATCCTATATTAGTATTGCTTCGTCACAGCTTGCGAAAGTCCAACCAAATTTCGCGAACATAGTTCGGAATTTCACTGTTTAGCAGAAGTACAATCGACTTTCATCAATATGCATCAAGATTTTCAACATTGGCGAATGTCCTTTCGGCGACATATCGAGCATTCATCTTGACTGACATATTTATATGAAAGAGATTTTTCAAGTTGCAGGCATTAACGGATCTAATAATGAGCAAAAATGAATTTGAAAGCAGTTATGCCATAATTTGCGATTCTCAATTGACATTCTAATGAACAAGTTTCGTTTTACAATTTACATATATATATATGCTTTTGGTTATATGTAGCTGCGCGCCATTTTCAGTTCATTTGATAGCCAAACACATTAATAGACACTGAGTCCGAAAATTCGGTACTCATTTTAGAATTCTATATTGAGATATCCTGTGAAATAATGTAGTGAAATGAAATCACGCCATCAGATGTCAAGCATTTCAACCACGTTCACAAATTTTGAATCGAATCAATCAAATCTTATTTCTTGAAGACTTCTGACATATGAGGCTGAAATCATGTGAATCAATAGAGAAATCGATATTTTATTAAAGTAATTACATGCTAATGGTATGATTCAAATAACTACACGATAAGTTGATACTTAAAGACAACAATGCAGAAAAGTTTATGAAAATAGGGCAGCTAGAAATTTACTACATTTTTCGTGAAGAAGAAGATACATCTGATGGAACAAGATACAACATTTTGATCGGTAGAAGAATAAATTCTCTATCTGATCAAATATAAATTAAAAATTTTAGAAGATTGCGCGAAAATACATTAAACAGCAGACAGTAATAAAAAATGATGCATTCCAACTGTATGAGTACCATAGGAACATCGAAGTTGAATCGAGTCGTGAGTGTGGGTGGATGTGGGAGTGAACTAGGAGAAAATTAATACTCACACATGCACCCACACCTACACCCTGATATGCTCAAAAATCTAATTTTTTAATCCCAATAAATGTGAATTCCGTTTACAAGCCTAATAAATACTAATGGATTTGACATTTTTTAAATGAGATTATGCAAAATTTATCAACCACTTGCCTTTATAGCATGTACAGAGCTGAACAAAAATCAGAGATAGTTGATTAAATACTATCCACCGCATTTCTGTCATGGCTTATATGCTATAGCTGAAATATTGACATCGTTGTAAATACATAAGCATGATTAATGATTGAGAACATTGATTTACAATTATTTATTTGTAAAAAAAGGCTTGTTGGATCAAATACTTGAACACTTCTAATAGATCCTAAGTCTGATGCCACAATAGTACCTGGTTACGGTAACGTAAATATCTGTTCACCTAATATTTTTATGTTATTCGTAAAATTGCTTCTTTTGACAGTTCAAAGTTCTTCTCTGAATAGAAATTGTTCGTGCTACGATCTCACAAGGCCATCTTTCCTAGAATCACGATTCACTTACGTTTACTTTTTGTGTTTCTTTCATAGTTTTTGTACGCGTGTTGCTAAAACATTTACTAATCAACAGGACTTATAATTCTTATAGTTTTACCGGTTGTAGATTTTTAGACAAGTAGCATAGTCATGATGTTCTGCTCGTATTCTGTTGCTACAAGGAGTTCTCATGCTCGTACTCTTCCTTATGACTAGGGTGTCACACGCTGATATTCAAAAGAAATTCACTGTAGTTCATCTAAGTGAATTCCTCTTCAGAAATTTTCCACAAACAGTATCAACTTAGTTTTACCAAAAGATGCAATTAGAATTTTGGCATCTTGAAAGTTGATTTCATGATAGTTGTACAAAAATTACGCTTCTACGCTATGAGGCGTTGTCATAGAACACTGCATGTCATCACTACGATGATCATATGAAATATCACGATTTTACATGAAAATCGCAGAACTTCTAATGCTCAACGAGTTGATCATTTGAGCATAAACATGCAGGAGTTCGTTAAGTGGGAAGCATCATTTTGATTGATGGAGCTGATTACGTTTTTTTGTCGTCTTTCGTCTCGATGATCGGCCGTTAGCAAAATAATATATTGTCAGTCTTGTATTTGCCTTTTTTCTGTTGAGATTTCATTCGAGTGTAAACACTTATCAATAATATATATCTATATTTCCTTAAAATTTCATGTCTCCTGACTACGATGAACAATTATACATCGAGATGAGATCTAAAAGTGTGTGAAACGAGGAAATCAAGGCATTATTGAGTTCGTCCTAAAGATTCTTTTTTTATAAAGCAGAGTAATTGAAGCTTCCAATAGGAACATTGCTCCTATCTTGTTGTATGATTTTATTGCTGTGAGATCGCACATGTTCCAAGTGCCCCGGTGTAAGTGAAAATATAAAAGTTGGTATATGACGAAAAAATACGCCAGAGAGAGAAGAACACCATCACATCAGAAAAAAATACAAAACTAACAGTTAAAAAATTGGTTCGATAAATTGGAAAAAATAGTTAACAATTTTCCCTTCGTTCTCTTTCGTGGACGAAAATCACTGAGAAAATGTTACGAATATAGAACCGCTATCTTCCTGATATTAACTATTGCATTAAGATGCTCTTTAATATCTAGGACGACAAATCTCGCATTTGATTTTATGTTCGAATCATGTATACCGACTACTTCAAAAGAGATGGACTTATCAATGATTCCTTGAGATAATTGTATTACTGTCTCATAAATTGAACAATTCTTAACTTCGAAGTCATCTAACATCTTAGCTCTTCTTAACAATCTAAGATGAAGGTAATGATTGTAATATTACTCATCGTTTGACATTGTCTTCTTAGTAACATCTCTAGTTGCCTTTGCTTCCTTGATAGTTGACGTGCTTTGATGCTATGATGAAAAATATATTTTAGTAATGCAATGTTGTTGATACTACTATTAAATTGGAATGAAGATGACATTCAAACAATTTATATACGAGAAAAATAGGCTTCAAACGTTCAGCATGCTATATAGATACTACTGTCTTAGGAAACAAGATTTGCATTGTTAACTTGACGTGACACAAAACTCTATGATGATAAGATTTGTTATTGTTGAACAATCATATTTCGTTCTGAAGATTTCGATGAACTTCGTCTCAAGTCTAGCTGAAAATGATCTGGAAAAAAGTTCCGATCCTTCATTAAGAGAGCACATTAATAATCCATGAACATCGTCTTGAAATTTTTAAAATCATTTGTCTTCTTAGAAGACTATTAATTTCTAAAGAAACAAGAAAAGAGCTAAAAATGAAACGTTCGAAACAATGAAGATTTATGGCACCTTCTACTTAAGGCCACCTCACCCCCCTCCCCTCAAAAAAGTCACTTTTCGTCAGAAGCGTCGAAATTGAGGGAGATTCATTGGGAAATAGCCCGTCATCTGTTCTTTCATATACGACAAAAATGTTTATTCAGCATCTCTTCTTATTCAAAAATTTTGGAAGATTTTCGTCACCCCCTATTCGAAAAACAGGCCGTTTTTACAAAAAACCGAAAATCATTTTTCGTTTTTCTCAGAACTTCGGTTCAACGACGTATCTCCAGCAGAACTCCATTACAGTAACAGATAAAGTCAAATCTTTTTTTTTGTTCGAATGCTTATGTGCAGGGGTAGCGACTCTCGTGGCTCTTTTTCTAAAAAATGCTTTTCTATTATCATAGAAGATAACCTNGAAAAATGATTTTCGGTTTTTTGTAAAAACGGCCTGTTTTTCGAATAGGGGGTGACGAAAAGAGATAAGATTATAAAAGGCTCGTGTTACTCGTGCTATAATTCGATTTCTTGCATGCTGCATATGAAACGGATAATTTCATAATTGTAGATTTTACTTATAGCAAAAGTGTTTGTCAGTAGCTTCTTTCAATGTACGATGCAGTCTAAAAACCCTAAACCATATTAAAAATCAATGCCGATCAAAGTGTAAAAATCTAGCTTCAGAGAACCAAATATACCAAGGACAAGCATTTTGAAAGGTCATTTTAAAAAATAGTCATCCCAATGTTATTTAGTTTTCTCTTTCTGGCAATTATATACAGCTTTATGCTGGTTATTCTAAAAATGAAAATGATTCTAAACAAGGTGCTTCAACCCAAATATAGTCCTCGATGTCACATAAAGGTAGAGCATTCATGGAATTACTATAGCAAGGTTGTGACATCGAAACGTTCACTCTCTGTTAGCATCAAAACGTATTTCCCCTTGCTATTTTTGTACTGTTGCGTTATCAGTCACGAAAGTAGCATTCATACGAATACTGCACATGTGCCATTCCTATACGAAGTGATCATATACACTATGTTGGGGCTTATACAACACCTGAGTTTTATGCTTCGCCTCGTGAAGTTAGTCTGATAAGACCGCGCATGCAAAACTTATCAATCTTGTTGAATCCTTACCCCATACTGTATTCATCGTGTAGCGAATTCAATTGCGAAACTGGTGAAACAAACAAAGAATACCTGGCGCAAGGTGAATTCTTCAAATATCATTACCTATGTTGTATTGTCGGCTTTCAATTTTGTATAATATACAATGAGTAACATGATAGCATATTTGCACAAGACATAAATAGTTTACAGTGACATCGCGAGAAGAACGGAGATACTTTGGACGTTTAGTTTCTATTATTCCGGCATTTATTAGAGTTGCTCAATGATACGGTTATTTCCTCACTTCAAACGCCTTTTTAGTCTTATCTATATAGATGAATATTCATTGCAGTCAAGAACCATGAACTTTCACGGAAATATAGATATATATTATTGATGAGCATTTATACTTGAACGAAACCTCACCGGAAAAAGGGCAAATATAGAGTCCACAATAAGTTTTTTTCCAAGGACTGATCGTAGAGACGTAAGGCAACAAAAAACGTAATAATTCGACTGCTGAAAATGATACTTCCCAGTAGATGAACTTCAGCATGTTTATGCTAAAATGATCAGCTCATTGGGCATTAGAAGTGTTGTAAGTTTCATGTGAAATCGTGAAATTATATATAATAGTCATAGTGATGATATGCAGTGTTCTATGGCAATGCCTCCCAGCGTGGAAGCGTAGTTTTTGTATAGCTACCATCGAATCATTTTACAAGATCCCAAAATTTTAGTTGCATCTTCCAGAAAGACTAAATAAAGCCTTTGCCAAAAAAAAAAACGGTTAAAATGTAATCAACTCGGATGAACGGGAGCGAGTACGAAAGTAGAAACGTCTTTGAACCATTGAATACAAACAGAACATCTTGACTATGTTACTTATTCAAAAATCTACAACCGGTAAAATTATAAGAATTGTATCTCCTGTTGGTTGGCAGATGTTTTAGCAACACTTACAGGCGTCATGAAAAAAAGATGGGTCAAAGGCCTGAAATTTGTTTCTTTAAGTCTTATTGAAGATGTTTTGATATGTCGGTAGCGGGGGAGAGGTGAGGGGATTTTCTATAGATCTGAAAAGTGTACTAATATGCTGAAAAATGACACTACACAGTAGGTGAATTGATATTCGAGTCGAAGATTTTCGATTGGACACCTCTTCCTAATGATAGGTCACGCTTTTTTGTGCAGTAACTCATATATGTGAAAATTTTGCGAGAGCTACATATTAATCGTAAAAGAGAACTTATTCTTATAAAACTCATAAACTGCATCTATATGCAAACTCTCCGATTATTGCATTGAAATACTTTTTTCTAGGATGGTTGAATGCTAGCAGGATGAGTTATGGACGGTCCTATCACATAGCATCAATATTAAGCAATGGAAAAGTTTTAGTTGCTGGTGGATTTGGCTCTAATGGCGACTTGAACACTGCAGAACTCTATGATCCATCAACAGGAGTTTGGACAAAAACTGGCAACATGAGTGCGCGACGGTACATTTACACAGCATCTGTGCTGCCTAATGGAAAAGTCTTAGCTGTTGGTGGATTTGGTGCTATCGTCAATTTGAATACTGCAGAACTTTACAATTCATCAACAGGAATTTGGACAAAGACTGGCAACATGAGTTATGGACGATACTATCATACAGCATCCATATTAACTAATGGAAAAGTGTTAGTTGCTGGTGGATATACGCTTAGTGGCTATTCGAATAGTGCAGAACTGTACGATCCATCGACAGAACTTTGGACAAGGACTGGCAGCATGAGTGGTGAACGACGAGTTCACACGGCATCGATACTCAGCAATGGAAAAGTCTTAGTTACTGGTGGAATTGACTCCAATGGTTCGTTGAATAGTGCAGAACTTTACGATCCATCAACAGGACTTTGGACAAAGACTGGCAATATGAATTATGGACGGTACTATCATACAGCATCGATACTAAACAACGGAAAAATTCTAATTGCTGGTGGATATCGTCCTAGTTTGTTTTTGAATACTGCAGAACTTTACGATGCGTCAACAGGAGTGTGGACAACGACTGGTAACATGAGTTATGGACGGTGCTTTCATACAGCATCGACACTAAGCAATGGAAAAATCTTAGTTGCTGGTGGATATAGTTCTAATGGTGATTTAAAAAGTGCAGAAGTGTACGATCCATCAACAGGAATTTGGACCAAGACTGACAGCATGAGTTTTGCACGGCACTCTCACACAGCATCGGTTTTAATTAATGGAAAAGTGTTGATTGCTGGTGGATATGATTTTATTGACTATTTTAATAGTACAGAGTTATATGCATGATCATCGTTAGACTGAAATATTATTCGTTAGACTCAAACTTTAACTTTTATTCATATCTTTATGACTTATCATTGCATTATTTGAGAATACTATAATAATCAACAGGTACTATCTCTATTTCGAATAAAAAATAAATTTGTAGAAACTCTCTCAATACCATCCACTATTATTTAACATATATCAAGAAACAGTAGGAGACTATACCAGTGTGCATGTAACGATATAATTTACTGTTCTCGAACACTTTACCGAGATTATTATTAAAAAATGAGTTCATTTACATTGCGACAATGGGTATTTTTTTCAGAGTACAAGTTTGATTTCCATTGGTTCTGGTTTTTTAGTTCCTGAATTGACTGCAGATGATTATCAATGTTATTATTAAGGATCAACTTTTGATGTCTTTTGCCTTGCTAACTTATGTATATTGTTTCGCCAGAAAATGTTTTTTTCATCAACCTCGTTCAATAGCCGAAACCGATATCAATGCACTATCAGAGTTGTGTTTGCTTTTGATAATTCTCAATTGACTTGTCTTTGTATTAACTAAAACCCTTTTGAGAGACCGACCGCAAAAAAGGTTGTGAGTTTTCTCGAGGCAATCCATTATTAAATCACGATTTCAAAATTGTGTATGATTAGTATGAATGCTTTACAAGCTGCTCCATGTTTATCTTGTCTACATGTAACAATATGAACTAGAATTATGATGAATTATTTGCACAGAAGTAATCACCGATACAATTGAAAACATTAATCCTCATAGTCTTGCGGCTGCTTCTAAAGAAACGACTTCCTCCGTATGAATATTTGAATTAATTCTTATGAATAATTATGATTGACCAATGTAACATCGTCATTTTTCTTACCTAAGTTTGACCCCATTCATATAGAAACGCAATCAACTCCACTTATACATGTACTCTGTCCTGACCATTTTAATAAATATGTTAGAGATTCGTGCGATCTTTTGTTAAATCGACGTTGTTATATTGAACTTGATGATAAATGATATTGTATGCGTTTGTCGTCGTTGCAAAGGTCTTGGGAATTTTATCATGAATGATGCGCGAACGTCATTTCTAATCAATAATGCTTTGCTCCGATTGCTTCAGCTGTCTGTTCTGTTCGAATGTGATGAAGTTGAGTCCGCATATCCGGTCTATGCCGTTTCAGTAATCGATCGAAGTAGTATCAAACTATTGCATGGACTAAATCTAGACGAATGCGATTGAGAAAATGTTTAATACAAGGAGACAGACGATAAGACACTTCAATTATCAAATGATGGGTGCATTGTTCACCAAAAGTCAATTTTTTCATTACTGACCAATATTGAATACTATTGACAAGTAGCACGAGTAACACTTGACAAGAATTCCATTTTATTTATTTACATCAACTCACATTAATCTCCGTCTCTAAAATTGACGTGCCAAGAAAAACGTTAACGATGTTTAAATAAGAAAATTTCTTCCAAGCCAATGCAAAGATGAGGATGTGAGGCTGATACTGAAGAGAAGACTCTCAATCACATCCACATCTATATGATGAGTCTAAACACTGTTCAAAATGATTAGAGAGTATTAAGGCATGACTAGAGTAAGTGTTTGAATTTACTATTTTTGATGGAATTTATTTCTACTTAATCAGCTAGTAAATAAAAAGATGAAAAGTTATCAGAATATAGGAATAAATTTGGGGTACATAGTTTGAGACACATTAGTACTGTTATAGAGCAAAGAAAAGAGAAAAAACTACGCAGTTTTAATTACTCTATAGACGTGATAGTGCGAAGAAAGAATAAAATAATGCATATGTTTCTCAGGCCACTAGTACATGCTATTGATTAATACCTGGAATTTTCTTTTCTTTTTTGGGTGAATCCAATATTGTCTTACAAGTTCACTGTTTTAAAAATTATTTTTTGATTTAATATGCAGTCTATAAAATAAGTTATTTGACAGAAGTGTAGTTAAATTATTATGTATCGAAAACACTGTTTTATTTTATGCTTTAGAAGTTACTGGTGTTGAATGTATATGAGCGATGGCTATTCTTCGACTTAGTTTTTCATTGAATTCATCACAACTTTTACCAGAAATTTTCTGATCTGTGATTCCTGATCATCAGATTGCAAATAATTATTCATTACGTTCACAAAAATTATTTTCTGTTACTTCACATAAAACTGGTTATTATTTTACCAATCGATTGATTATAAATGCACGTCAAGTTTATAGATTCTTGTTGCTTTTTGATAAATCAACTATTGGTAATGTTCGTAAAAAATTGAATTCCTCGTTTTTTCGGTGCTAAACAGAAGCAAAACAATTGTGTATGCGTTCGGTTTTTCAAACGCATCATGCTTAATCATGTTACTGCCGATATTAGTTTTCAATCTATTATAAACGCGCTGAAAGCTGATGAAATCGATATTACAAGAATATTGATTTTCATCATGTAATTTTTTTTCATCGTTTTCTCAGAACGTATGCTTCATATACATAGGAAGAAATAATTCAAACATCAGCAAGTCACTACAAGATATTCTTCATAAACATATACTTGTTGAGAACACATAAAGAGCCATATTTGTCAATTTTCTCTGATTGTCTTTATTTTACTGAATAGTATTCAATAGGCTTTTATTGATGCTGTTGTTGGGTCTTATTCTAATTGATTAATGCTCATTAGATGTCATTCATAGTTCTCTTCAGAAAGGAATTAAATCTTTAGTTTGGTTTATTGATGAAGCAACCAACAATATTTGCTTTTAAGTTTCCCATTCGTTTACTCGTCGACAAGATTTCATGTTATTTGCAAGCAATATAAATAATTGCTTTTCTCGATTTCTTTATCATTTTATTGATACATCACTGGATTGAAGTAGAGCCTGCTATTAAACATGTAATAGATCAATAAGATATTACTTAAGAATACTTTCTTGCATATCTGCCGACAGCAGACAAGAAACTCGAAACAAATGGCAAATACAAAACAAATCGAAATTTTTCTAATGACAAGTCTATTTTATTCTTTTTCTGTATTAAATAATACTTTAAAAAAAAAGAACTTGCATGGTCCCAACAAGAACACTCATTAGTATACTTACTTCATAGTGAATGTTGCAATTTAGTAAATAATGAATTGCTGTCATTTGTCAAAGAAGAACCTATAAAAGATAAAGAAGGAATTCAACTATTGTCTGTTTCTTTCTAGCTGCAAAACAGTCAAAAGAATAATGTCAATAATGATATTAGTGAAAACAGTTGAATGTACATTAATGACTTAGATGTAACCGAAAAAATAATCTTTTTTCAATATATTCGGCAAATCTAATTTCTTTTTATAACGATAAGCGATTAATTTCAAAGTATTTTTATGATAATATTATGGTGTCTTAATAACACTTAATCAAATCAATTCCACTCAATAATGAGTTTTTACAACAACGTCAATGTCTTCAACTTTTAGCGCGGCAAGAAGCATCTTCCTCAACAAGTATGATGTACGTTTCACGCCACGTACTATATCTATTAACCAACAAAGAAGTAGATTGAGTTGGTGCTGAATGGTATGTTAATGAGATAGCCGATATATTCGAAAGTTGAATTGAAACAAGTGCAAATTGTTCAAATAACATCATTAATGATATATGTATTAATAAATACTCGCATCAACTATTATCTACTGTTATAGCAATTAGTAGACAAGAATATGTGATATTAAATAAGCTTGTAAAATGTTGGCTATCTATGTTACATCAAAACATTGACATAGAAAGAGAATATTTTTTTAAACAGTTATCTTGAGTCAGATGATCGCTAATCTTACAGTAGAATATCTTTCAACGATTTGAGTACTATTAATGCTGGTGTTAAATTCTTTGGTAATTGTGAAGTCTATGTGACATATTACGTTTGATTTATTCGAAATATTATGATTTCTATTGTTAACGTTCCAACAACATCTGTTTTGCATTCAAACGCTCAATAAGCCATTGGTGTTATTCGAGAGACAATAAACAACAATAAAAATTGATTAAAAACAATCATGTAATTAATGTAAAACAAGGGTGTGAGTGTGTTGTTCAAATGTATGCTCATATTCACACACAATCTCAAAATTGTGAGAATGATTCGAGTGGCTTATTTTGGAATCAGAACATATTTGATGTAACATTGATTTCTTAGCGGATATTGAATATTTTGTTTATAAACATGATAATATGAAAAGAAAAATCATGTGCACAGAGTATAGTTTGAAGTGGCACGCAAATGAAAAGCAGGAAAAAAAAGGTGTTTTACACAAATATTTGCAGTTCGCATTGAAAAAAGTTATGTGGTGGTTGTAAAGATTTTTGTATGCTTTTCTCTTTTTTGACGAACACTTAACATCGTCATCTTTTCGATTCGAGTGAGTTTGTGCTGCTCGAATAAACTCATCTACTCACATATTCTTCGCCCACTACATCAAATAGTTATAAAGGTAAGAAAATGTTAACATTCTTTTCGATTTAGTTTCCGAATTAAGTTCAGAAAAAAACTAACCAAAGTCAATCGAATCTTTGTACTGCGAGGTGAAAAGCGATATTTCAAAGTAATTCCCAATTTTCATCGAAGAAATCAGGATCTCATTAAATCGCAATATTCTATGAATGACTCAAGTCTTTTATCTCTTATCTAAAATCCAACTCAAATTGTTGATAAGGATGCTACTTTTTCTGATTGGCGCTTCCAGAAAAATTGATAGAAATATGTTTGAATCACTTTAAAATAAACGAATTCTGGAACAGTCAACTACCAAACGTTCACATGACTAACAAGCTAGAAAACGACAACTTGAGAGAAAAAATTTACTGTCTTTGAGAAAGGTCACTATTCAAATTTGAATGAACAATTTCTTAATTTACCAAGAAACGAGCGTTGTTAAACGATGAAATCGACGCCCTCTTGAAACTTAGTTTATTATATTTTGAGTAGTAAGTTCAGATGTCAGAAATCAATTACCGTTCGAATCGGATCATTAGACTTAATTCCAGCTGCATGCAGCTAGCTCAAAATTTTTGATATTATCGATCTCCGACAGCGTTATGCTATGTAGTTTTTACATGGAAGGGTTATTTGCCTTCTTCAGTTTCTTTCATTTGATTTACACATCAAATGAAATTCTTTCTTTCCTTTATTGATTGACATGTATGAATATGACAAAATATTGTTTCTTTTCTCTTTTCTTTTATATGGACATGCTTTGCTTGCATGTACAATGTGAGGATGCCCATCACGAAACTTCCTCACTATCGGACTGTTATAATTGGTGTGCAAGACATTTTAGCCAAACATACCATGTTCATGAGAGGCGAAAGTCAGTATTTTTGACTTATGTTTGATGGATTGTGATCAGGATAAACAGATCTACTAGCAAGATAAATGATATATTTGAAATCAGAATAAAAAATTGAATCGATCTATATGTATCACGAAATCATTGGACAACTTTGATTTTCATCCAAAATTCAGTCCTGCTCCATCTCTACTATGAAAAACAAAGTCAATCAAGACATCGTTCCTATTATTTATTCATCTGTTGTTCTGGATTTTTCTAAACTTTCATAAATTTAGAAGTGACTACTAACAGTCAAACTGACTGTTAAGAGCCCTGTCCTCACAAATGCCACCATCGTTTCTTCTTTTTCTTTCTTTCTTTCTTTTTCTTTTTCATCTAGTCGTCCTTGATTGTAATATAAATACTTATATGAATATACATGTTTTTCTCTAGAGGTAATGATATGGACGTGTCAATGCGGGTGCATCTTTTTAAGTGAAAAAATAAAAAGTAGAAAACAAGGACAAACATCGAGACACTAATTCTGACGTTTTGGTTGATTTTATTTTTCATAGTAGAGGTAGAGTAGAACTCAATTTTGGATGAAAATCAAATTTTTCGGATGTGTTTGTGACACCTATAGATCGATTCAATTCTTTACTTTTGATTCCAAGTATATTAATTGTCTTGTTAGGAAATCTGATTAATCTGACCACAATCCATCAAACATCAGTCAAGAAGAGCTACTTTTACCTCTTATGAGCTCTGTATGCTTGGCTAAAATGTCTTGAACACCAATTATCACAGTCCGATAGTGAGGGAGTTTTGTGATGGGCATCCTCACATTGAACATGCAAGCAAAGCATGTCCATATAAAAGAAAAGAGAAAAGAAACAATATTTTGACATATTCATACATGTCAATCAATAAAGGAAAGAAAGAATTTCATATGATGTGTAAATCAAATGAAAGAAACTGTAGAAGGTAAGCAACTCTTCCATGTAAAAGCTACATAACAGAGGTCCAACCAGGCCACTAGGCCTGCCTGCCTGTCACAGGCACAGGCCACGTTTTTTAGGCCTGGCCTATGACAGGCAGGCCAGGCCGACCCCTCAGGCAGGCCGCTTAAAACACCAGGCCGCCTGGCCTGTCTATATTCTTTATAAATATAGCTTTTTTTTAAATATACATTTTTTT